TTTCTCTTTCTTTCTTCTTCCTTGCTTCTGTGTTCGCTTTCTTCTTCTTCCTTGCTTCTGTGTTCGCTTTCTTTCTTTCTTTCTTTCTTCTCCCTTGCTTCTGTGTTCGCTTTCTCTCTTTCTTTCTTCTTCCTTGCTTCTGTGTTTCGCTTCTTTCTTTCTTTCTTTCTTTCTTCTCCCTTGCTTCTGTGTTCGCTTTCTTTCTTCTTCCTTGCTTCTGTGTTCGCTTTCTTTCTTTCTCCTTCTCCCTCTTTCCGTTCCTGTTGTTCTCTCTTTCCGTCTCTCCTTTCCTCGCTTTCTCTTCTTTCCTTCCTTTCTTTCTTTCTCTCCCTCCATCCCTCGCCGTCTTTCCTTTTCCTCTCTCTCTCTTCTCTCCTCCCTTTCTTTCTCTCCCTCCGTCCCTCTCTCTCTCCTTCCCTCCCCCTCCCTTCTTCCTCCTGCTCCTCCTTCCTCCCCTCCCTCCCTTCTTCCCTCTCTCTCTCCTTCCCTCCCCCTCCCTTCCCCCCTTTCCCTATTCCTTCCTCGATCTCTCTCTTCCTCCCTTCTCTCCCTCCCTCCCTCCTTCCCTCCCTCCCTTCACGTCTACCTTGATGAGCCTCTAATGACCCCCCCCCTTCCCCTTCCTCCCTCCCCCAGGTGCAGGAGGCCCCAGGTGTCGATTTTTCCCTCCCCCGCCGGTTTGTTGTCTGCGAGGCGTGGGCGGTGCGGGCGGTGTATCCTGGGGAAAGGAGACGAGGAGAGGCGGCCGATTATTATCTTCTACTTCTCTCTTCATCTCTTTCTCCTCGGTTCTCTTGTGTTTGAGGGAGGGAGGGAGGGGAAGGGGGAGAGAGGAGAGGGAGAGAGGAGAGGGAGGGGGAGAGAGGAGAGGAGAGGGAGGGGGAGAGAGGAGAGGAGGGGAGGAGGGAGAGGGGGAGAGAGGGGGAGAAACGTTTATTTACTTATCCTTGTCCTCTCCTCTCTTGTGCGATGTTTTTTTTTTTTTCATTCGTTTTAACCCTGTCTTTATTATCATTACTTTGTTTCCAATTTGAGTCTTTTTTATTTATAAAGACACAGAACAGGAACAATTAATGCATTTCGAAATGTTTTATCCTATGATACGTGAAGCTATTTATATGCCTTTCTATATGTGGAATTCGAACAAATTGCAAGTAGAACAACGAAGGGAATTAAGGAAAACACACGAATATTCGTGTGTTTACTGTACTTTCCTTCGTTGTTCTACCTGCATGCTTTTCTATACTTGCCATAATAAATTTCCCTTCCCCGTCTTTTCGTTTCTTTCTTCCCATTCTTCCCCACCCCTTTTCCCCTTTTTTTTCCACTTACATTAAAAAAACCTTTCCCTTTACCCCCTTATCATTTTTTCCTTTTCCCCCTTTTCTCCTTTTCCCCTTTTTTCTCCTTTTCCCTTTATCCCGTTTCTCCCTTTCCCTTTTCCTATCAGTGTTCCCTTATCCCCTTCCCTTCCTTTCACTTTTCCTTTTCCTTTCCCTCTCCCTCTCCCTCTCCCTCTCTCTTCCCCTCTCCCTCTCACTCTCCCTCCCCTTCCTTCGTCCCTCCCTCCCCTTCCTTCGTCCCTCCCTCCTTCCCCCTTCCTTCCCCCTTCCTTCCCCCTTCCTCCTTCCCTTCCTCCTTCCTCCCTCCCCCTTCCATCCTTCCTCCCTCCCTCCCCCTTCCTTCCTCCCTCCCTCCCTCCCCTTCTTCCCTCCCCTTCCTTTTTCCCTCCCCTTCCTTTCCTCCTCCCTCCTTTCCCCTTCCTCCCCATCCTCTCCTCTTCTCCCCTCCGTTTCCCTCGTCTCCACGCCCCTCTCTTTTCCCTCTCCCCCCTCGCCTCCCCCACCTTCAGCCCCCTTGCTTCCTCTTTCCCCTTCCCTTTTCCCCTCACCTTCCTTCCCTCCTCCCTCCCTTTCCCTTCCTTTCCTTTCCCATCCTCTCCTCCTCTCCTCCTCTCCCCTCCGTTTCCCTTGTCTCCACGCCCCCCTCTTTCTCTCTCCCCTCGCTCCCCCCCCCACCTCCAGCCTTCCCACGCGTTGCTCGCCCCGCCGAACCTGCGAGGGCGTGGACGCGTGGGCGGTGGTGGGGTTGGGGTTAAGGGTGGGCGGGGGATGGGGTAAGGAGGGTGGGTGGGTGGGTGGGGGGTGGGGGTGGGGATTGGGAGAGGGGACCTGGTGTGCTCTTGACAGAACGAGGCTAGTGGCGAACGCTCGCGCAGTTGAGTCCTTTCAAGGAGACAGGTAGATAGAGAGGCAGATATAGAATTAACATGGATGCAGGCATAGGCCTAGATATGGGCGTAGGCATAGGCTTAGATATGGGCGTAGGTATAGGCTTAGACATGGATGCAGGCATAGGCTTAGACATGGACGCAGGCATAGGCTTAGATATGGGCGTAGGCATAGGCTTAGACATGGATGCAGGCATAGGCTTAGATATGGGCGTAGGCATAGGCTTAGACATGGACGCATAGGCTTAGACATAGACGTGGGCACAGGCGTAGACAGACAGCAGGGAAAGAGAGACAAATGGACTGAGACGAAGTAAGACCGACGGACTGTCTTAAAAAGAGTAAAATGACTTTGTTTACGAGCGAGTGAGTGAGAGCAATAACGAGAAAGAAAAGCAGACACAGCGATGACTGAACAGGTGGACAGACATGCATAATAGAGAGAGAGAGAGAGAGAGAGAGAGAGAGAGAGAGAGAGAGAGAGAGAGAGAGAGAGAGAGAGAGAGAGTGAGGGGGGGGGGAGAAATCACAGGTACTGGCAAGAACAAGCAAGCACAGGAGCGCGCGCGCACGCATACGCACACTTACACGCATACGCACTTACACGCACACGCACTTACACGCACACGCACTTACACGCACACGCACTTACACGCACACGCACATACACGCACATACACGCACACGCACATACACGCACACGCACATACACGCACGCACATACACGCACGCACATACACACACGCACATACACACACGCACATACACACACGCACATACACACACGCACATACACACACGCACATACACACACGCACAAACACACACGCACAAACACACACGCTCACACACACGCACACACACACGCACACACACACACACACACACACACACACACAGAGTTTCACAACCCCTCAACTCGGTGTTTACGTTTCTTTCTCGATCTACTCCTCCCCTCCCCCCCTACCTCCCCCCTCACCCTCACCCTTGCCTGCCCACCTTCCCATACCCAGCCTCCCCCCCTCCCCTCCCCCCCACCCCCTCCGAGTGTTTTTGTGAGCTGCCCCGGCGGCGGAGGGGAACGGATCTTGGCGAAGGGGTTTTCCTACTGCGGTGTTGCAACGCCTGCAACGCCTCTGCTTCGGACGGTTCAGAGTGGGGGGTAGGGTAGGGAGGGAGGGAGGGGGCAGGAGGAGAGGTAGGTTTGGGGGAGGTGGGTAGGGGGGGTAGGGAGGGAGGGGAGAAGTGGGTGGGGGAGTTAAGTGGGGGGGGAAGGGAGGTGGGTGGACAGGTGAAAGGACGGGTGGGCGAAGGAGAAGGTAAGTGGATGGACAGGTGAACGGAGGGATGGAGGGGGTAGTGGGTAGGTGGCTGGTGGAGGGGAAAGTGGAAGGAAGGGTTAGGGGATGGTGGTGGGGAGGGGTGCGTCGGTGGAGGGGGGGAGGTGCGTAGGTGGAGAGGTGCGTAGGTGGACGAGCGTAGACTTGGAAGCATCCATGAGGAAAGGTGGAGAGAGAGTCAAGATGTGAGGAAGATGGGGTGGACGAGGCATGTGAAGGAACAGACTACGAGTTGCTCAACCCTGGGACATTCCCGACTGCTGACCCGGGGTACATAGGGGGGTGGGGTGGGGTGGGGGGAAGGAGGAGAAAAGAGGTGGAACAAGGGGAGTTGTTCACCTTCCTCGTAGCCGCACGCGAGGGGGATATTTTGACTGCATTTTGAACAGCTGATCAAGGTTCTGTCCTTTCCTGTGGCAACTCTTGGGGGATTTCACCACTTTTACTCATTCTATTTGATTATTATGCCTCATGTGCTTGTTTACTTGTTTAAGTGTTAATAAACTCCGACTCCGCCCTCTCATAAAGACATAAATACGTAGAATGACAAACAGACACACACACACACAAGGAGACAGACCACGCCACGCACACAATGAAACAGACAGACATGCACGAACAAAAAGTGAAAGGAAAATATCCCCCGCCCCTCATTCATCCCATTCCGATCTCACAAACTCATAAAAAAAACTCCACATTTCATACGCTCGTGATCTCGACAGAGTGCCATTTTCCCCTCTTGTTATTGCCAATTAACAAACTTGCAGTGCGAGCATACACTTTTTTTTATATCCATTCAGATAAGTGCCGGCAGCGTATTTAGAGATCTACCAGATATCCGCACCCGCAGATTATCCGCTTTTATGTGAGATCTTTTGATGCCAACTCGTCCGCAGCATCAAAGAAATTGAATATCCGCAGGTGCACTCGCAATTTTAAGAAATCTGTTCGCATCCACATCTGCAACATCCGCATCGTTAAGCGTCCATTGCATCTCTCCTCGGATTTATTGCAAAAGCTTAACAGGTAGAGACATGTGCGAGGCTGCAGTTTTGTTTGGAATAATTTAAGAATGGTGAGGTGGAGAGAACAACGTGTGGGTGTAAAGGCGAGGAATGTGCGGGTATGGTGCCTCGTTGATATGGTGACGGAAGGTTTTTGGGTGCAGGGGGGCGTGGGAATGGTGTGGGTATGGTGTAGGTATGGTGTGGCAAGGGAGCTGTGGATATGGTGGAGCTATGGTGTTGAGGGAGTCTGGATATGGTTTAGGTACGGTGTGGTGAATATGTGGATAGAAGAAAGTATAGTGTGGTGAATGTGTGGGTACAGGATGCGGGTATGGTGTAAAGGAGTATGGATCACAAGAGATTCCGTAATGGTGTGATAAAGGGGAAATGTACAAAACACGACGCAGGGAAATGGCGGCTATAAAGTACTCTTTTTAAAGTGTTTGTTTGAAGGCAAGTGCATGCGATTGATTTTGACGGCGCAAAGGGAGTTCTGGAACCATCATTCTCTTTTTACGAGTCCTGTCTGTGCTGGAAGGGCACGTTCGCTCGTATATTGCTCTCGTTACGTGAACTACCGAATCCTCCTCCATGCCAGCGAACACTTTCGTTCACATCCGCGCTGTTCCGTTTCAAGCCAGCTGTTTATTTATTTTCTTTCCTTCTTTGTAAGCTACGAACACATAACAAGTCTCCCCTTATTTTATTTATGTATTTTTATTTTTAAGAGAGGAAATTTTGTTATACATTAGGAGATAATAGAAAAGATATGAAAATAAAGACGGAATTTAAGATAGACTCGTTCACATCGTAGGAGGGATACGAGCCCATGATCAATAAGGATGATGACTGTTAGCCTTGTCTCCCGCGTAACGTTAAATGGCGATGGTTTTTTGTTTGTTCTTTCAGGCTTTGCTTTGAATAGTCGGCTGATGAGTGATGGACTGATGATAGGAGGGAGGAAGAAAGTGGGGGGGGAGGGGAAAGGAGGGAGGAGGAGGGGATAAAGAGAGGGAAGGAGGGAGGAAAGAGGGAAAAGAGAGGGATGGAGAGAGGATAGAGGATAGAGAATAGAGGAGGAGGGAGGATAGAAGAGGGAAGAAGAAAGATACGGAAAAAAAACTTGAGGAAAAGGGAAGTACAGTGGAGGAGGAGGAAAAAGAGGAGAGAAATGAAGCAGATATTTAGATTTAAGTGAAGGAAGGAGGGTGAGAAAAAATGAGAGCGTGCAAAAAAACGAATCCTGTTCCATTAAAAAAGGAAAAAAAAATGAATCTGCCCATTCAGATAGCCCCCCCCCCCCAAAAAAAAATAATAATAATAATAAAAAAAAAAAAAATAAATAAATAAAAACTCAAGAAAAGTGTGGCTATCAACTTCCTCTTTCAGTTGAATTGCCCATTAAAGAGAAAATGTTTTTTTTTTTTTCTCGTATAGATTTCCTGTTGGAAAAAAAACATCGGCAACAAAATAAAATGAAAGCGAGACTAAATATACGAAAAAAAAAATATTAAAGTAAAAATCGTAAAGATATTGACTATCAACAAGAAATTGACTCGTAACAAAACCGTTAACTAGCAGCTAAGAATGTTAACTAACGGCCCAAGAAACGTTAACAAACAACAACAAATACAATAACAAAAACAAACAACCCGACATGAATGGGTGATCACTTCCTAAAACATTACCTCGGGCCGGTTTGGGTGTTGCATTGTTATTGTTGCATTTAATATTCAGAAATGTCAGAGTGAATGATTTTCAGGCAGATCATGAAAAGGCATCCGTGCTCAAAAAAAATTCCTGCCGTTCTGTCCAGTTCTATCAAGAGGGTAAAAAAAAATAGTAGAAATAGATACAGAATATTCATGGGATAGATATTCGTGCTTCGCATAATATGAGAAAAACAAAAGATAGAGAATCAGAAAGAGAGAGAAAAAGATGGGGTAAGAGGGAGAGAGAGAGAGAGGGAGGGAGGGAGGGAGGGAAAGATAGAGAAAAGAGAAGAAAGATAAAGATAGAGAAAAGAGAAGAAAGATAAAGATAGAGAAAAGAGAAGAAAGATAAAGATAGAGAAAAGAGAAGAAAGATAAAGATAGAGAAAAGAGAAGAAAGATAAAGATAGAGAAAAGAGAAGAAAGATAAAGACCGAGAAAGAGAAGAAAGATAGATAAAAGAAAAGGCAAAATCTTCTCCCAACATTTATCTCCATCTAAGAATATAAGCAAATAATGGACCTCGGGGTAAAGTAACTCCAGACAAGCTAGGTTTCCGGACAAAGCATTCATACAATACAAGTCCATTGTCGTGTGAGAGGAGGGGGGGGAGAGGGGAGAATGAGGGGGAGGAGGAGGAGAGAGGGAGGAAGGAGGGAGGAGGAGGAGGAGAGAGGGAGGAATGAGGGGGAGGAGGAGAGGAGGAAGGAGGGGGGGAGGAGGAGGAAGGAAGGAGGGGGAGGAAGAGGAGGAGGAGAGAGGAGGAGGAGGAGGGAGGAGGAGGAGGAGGAGGAGGAGGAGGAAGGAAGGAGGGGGAGGGGGAGGAGGAGGAGAGGAGGAGGAAGGAAGGAGGGGAGGAGGAGGAGGAGGAGAGAGGGAGGAAGGAAGGAGGGGGAGGAGGAGGAGGAGGAGGAGGAGGAGGAGAGGGAGGAAGGAAGGAGGGGGAGGAGGAGGAGGAGAGAGGGAGGAAGGAGGGAGAGGAGGAGAGGAGGAGGGAGAGGAGGAGGAGAGGGAGGAAGGAGGGAGGAGGAGGAGAGAGGGAGGAAGGAGGGAGAGGAGGAGAGAGGGAGGAAGGAGGGGGAGGAGGAGAGAGGGAAAAAGGGAGGATGAAGAACATTGGATTAGGACGAGGAAGAGGAGGAAGACCAAAGAAGCGATCTCGCTCGCTCACCGA